AGAATTCCAATAATTTTCTCTTCAAATTAGAAAAAAAAATAAAAAAAAACTATAAAAATAAATTTGTAGAGAACATTTAATTTTATTTTTCATTTATATCCAAAAAAATAAGTAAAATAAGTTTTTTCCAAAAAATAAATTTAGTTCCTTCTTATTTTTTCTTAAATTTAGTTCTGCAAAATTGTTAGCATTCAACGAATTGGCCAAGCCTAATTTTTTTATTCGCTATTCATGAGTTTTTTAATTTACTAAACTCTCCCCCGTATAGAGTTACGCTTTAACGAAAATTGATTATTGAAAGAATTGGCTTCTAATCCCAACCCTTTCCACTCTGCGTTTTCTTTCCTCTATTAATTTTATTTTTCTTTTATATAAAAAAAAAGTAACCTAAGTTTTTTTCCCAAAAAAAATTAATTCCTTCTTATTTTTTCTGATCATTCATTAATAAAAAAAGACACAAAAATAAATTAAAAAAAAGTACTTCATTTTTTCTTGGTAATAAAAACAATCTTGGTTGATTAGTTAGGTGTATGAAATACTCTCACATACCAGGAGCTAGGTTGCACAAACACAAGACACGAGATACGGGAACGTGCACGATACGATAATTTTTAAAAAAAGTAGGATATCCACACGCTTAGGACACACTAAACTAGATAAGTATAATACATTAATATTTCAAATAAATAAACAATCATTTATAATAAATCATAAACATAAAATAAAAAAATACTTAATTTTTTATAAACAATCATTTATAATAAATCATAAACATAAAATAAAAAAATACTTAATTTCTTATTTCAATATAATTAGTTAAATTTTCAAAATTATTATCACGGTTGAAAAATACATTAATATTGTGTGTGCAGTTTTTATTGAAGGTTATGAGGGATATCAAAATGGGTCATGACACACGAATGCGATTTGCTTAACATGCGAAATAAATGGGCTAGGGTTAATGTTAAACGAGTTTATGTCATAAACGAGTCACCAATTTATGACACTATAAACGTATCGTGTTGCAATTTGACACGCAGGTTAGGTGAGTGACCTGTTTATTTAAGAGTAAAAAGATAATTTTAGTGTTAGATATAAATACTCCGACTAAAACCTATTTAAATTTTATTGTTGAACTACTTTTTTATTTTAGTTATGAATATTGAAGAATTTATACATTTTATGTATGAAAATTTAGTTTTAAATATATTTGGAGTTAAATAGATTAAAATTTAAAAATATTTTAAGTAGGTTAAGTGGGTCGTATACAGGTCAACACAATCCACTTAATCCGTTTATAATATTAAGCGGGTATACACGGGTTGTATATAGGTCAACATGATTCACTTAAGATATTAGACGAGTTAAACATGTCGTGTTTGTGTCACCTGTCTAATTTTCATATCGTGTTCATGTTGATAAATTTAACACAATTATTAAACTGGTCATGTTCATGTTAACCTATCATGTTATGTTTTAGGCGAATCCATGTCGAATATGACACGCCAATCCATTTTTACACTCCTAGGTCACACTATGCATGATTTTTACTATTGCATACTTTGGTAAAAGGGCTTCGTAGGATATTTGAGAAAACACATCTTAGCATTGCAACTTTTTTTTAGCATATCTAAATGAGATACAATTTTATAATGCATTTCATGATAATTTTATTATACTATTTTATTACTTTTAAAGAATGTTATAAAATATTTATTCTATCATTTAATATTGTTCCTCGCGGATTTTGACACTAATAATAATAATAGTAATAATAATAATAGGGTGAAGAATTAATCACATTTGAAAAGTGAACCAAATATATGAAATTTTTGTAACAATAATAATAATAATAATAAAAAAAGCGGTCAATTAATTGAGAAATGACTTTCGACATGCCGTATTTTAGCAAAAGCTCAACACTTTGATCAAAATAAGGATTGGATGAGAGTGAAAGACTACATATCTGTTTGAAAAAAAATATCGAAGTTTAAGTAAAGAGAGACTCTTGTTTTGTTGTGTTTTATTCTTTGACGGCTTTGGATGAGAAAGGTAATTAATGAGGAACAAAAGAGGTTAAACTTCCAACGGAAAGTCCATTAACAAACGACAAAACGAGCCCACCACGTGTCCGAACCATTTTACATTTCGAAAACGACAACGATTACCTCAAACGATAATGATAAAGAAGGTGTACTAATGTTTCAACTATTCAACAACCACCACTAATTTAGAAATAGAATCTCTCTTCTAAACAACCAAAGGAATACATTTGACACGTCAAGATTCGTTAATTTTGTGGAATAATCTCAGTCGCCCAATTTTAAAATAGAATCTTGAAGATGCCAAAAGAAGATTATTTTTCTTTTTAATTCCTTCCATGACCATAAGATTCCTTGGCGTTGGTCAAAGAAAGAAAAACTGTGTCCATATCATACCAGAAAGCAGGGTGATAGAGATTCTATTAACTCAGGAGTTTAATTAGCTGATGGAAAAATACATTTCACAGGTTCATAATCAGTTAATTTGTCTTTGATAGGCATATACAAACCAAAAAGACTTATTAATACTCGATCCACTTATACACCGAACCAATTATAACTAAAAGAGTATTTCAAATTTTTTAAACCAGTATGAAATTTCTGACGTGAACTTTAAATTGAAACGGAATAAGAAAAAAAAAAAAGAATGGCTAAAATTAGTCTAGGAATATTGGTAATTTGATATTGAACTAGATCAGATTGGAGGGGAGGGTTGGATTTCGATCTCACTTCAAAGATTCTGAATCGAACGGTTGTACTCATCCAGTCCAATCCCAAATTAAAAATTTTCTTTTATGAAAAAATAGAAGCGCATAATGGACAAAAGAGCAGTTGGACACTTTTCTATTCATTTTTTTAAAGTTAAAACCCCCCATACAGCAAATAGAATATTAGTTAGTTTTTGAAGACATATTGAACAGATAAAATATAAGAAAAATATATAAATAGGAGGATATTGAATTCATTCTTTTGATGTAAAACTTATTTCTTCCAAACCTAATACATCCAAATATGAAAAATTATATTAATAGGAGGATATTGAATTCATTTCTTTTTGATGTTAAAACTTATTTATTTCTTCCAAACCTAATACATCCAAATATCCTAATTAAAAACGATTTCCAATTAATCCGAATAAAGGTAACTCAGTGATAAAAAATCTTGCATTTCTTCCAAACCTAATACATCCAAATATCCTAATTAAAAACGATTTCCAATTAATCCGAATAAAGGTAACTCAGTGATAAAAAATCTTGCATTTCTTCCAAACCTAATACATCCAAATATCCTAATTAAAAACGATTTCCAATTAATCCGAATAAAAGTAACTCGGTGATAAAAAATCTTTGCAAGATTAATCGTCATAATTCAGATTATAAATTTCAATCCCCACGATAGATATTTTCCCCGGACCAATCCTCTGCAATATTTACTTCTCCTGGGCCAACCCTTTGCCTCCGAGGGCGAAGGGATTAGTCAAGTCAAGTCTGTGTCCACAGTCTAGATTCCTCCGAGTAATTAAAAAAAAAAAAAAGAAAAGAAAAAAACTAAACTATTTCCTATTGGAGACCATATCTGAGCTTCAATTAAATTAAGCTCCTCAAAATGTTGTCGTTTTCTTTTGAAGGAAAATCCCTGATTTGTCGCTCTAATAATCTCCTCGTCTATAATCCAATATTGATTAACATAAATTCGCAATTACAATTTCAAACTTCAAAAAAATAAATGAAATTGTTAAAATTGTGATGACAATTTTTCTCCTTTGCCATCTTGAAGCCACTTGTGTAATTTATCTTACAATTCAATCAAATTTTATTTATTTAAATTTATTACTTTTTTCCCTCTAAATTTAATTTTTATTTTGTTTTTTTATTTTTTAAAGGACCGAAGCAAAATCAGAATCAAAGGCCTTAAACCAAACCGAAACCAGCCCAGAATCAACTGAACCAAGACTGGTTCAGATCCCAATTCCGACCCCTCCGGCTCCACTTAGACTAGCAGTTTCCATGAAGGCCGATTCATTGAATCGAAACCGAGTCAGGAATTCAAATTCCGACTTCGATTTGGCATCTCTCAAAACAATCTACAATCAGCCAATTAAAAGTTACTGGTCGCGAACCCATAATTAGACGTTTGAATTTAACTATATATATATATATATATATATCATCAAGTGGACATTCTAATACAACACTTGTTCATTCATATTTACAAGGTCAGAACAAATTAAATTATATAACAATCACTATCGATGCTTGTGTTAATATAATTATTATATGGTTGATTGCCATGGAAGTATCATATTTGGAATGAGGCAAGAAAACTATGACTTCATAAGAGAAGAAAATGAGCATCAAGGTCAAAGAGGCATGGATAACCTCTCTCTTTACTTTATCTATGCATTACAACTTCCAAAATCAAATTAACACAACGTAAATAAACAGGTACTTGCATTTGACATATCCGTAATTCAACGTTAGCTATCTAGATATAAATATCATGAGCCAAATACATAAATTCACTGTATACTTGTTGCAACTAAAATTACAAATTTTAATGTCATTGCAACTCTCCAAGCTAACAACTATTCTCTTTTATATAACAAATATTAATTTAATTTGGGGCTAGCACAACCTTTGAAATAATATAACAACGAAGCCTTAATCCCATACTAATTGGGATCAACTATATGAATCTGTTTTTGAAACAACAATTTTCAAAATTTTTCAACTATCAAACAAAGTATTTTAATTGATCTAATTTTGCAAGTTGAAGTGTTTTAATAAGTGCATTTTATCAGTTGAAATGTTCAATTAGTTAAAGTTGAAGCGAGGATCCCACAAGGTTTTTCACGACAAGTACACGAGTGAATTTATGCATTTTGCCAAATATCATGTCATGCTCCCTATAATATCATCTCAAACAATTAATAGGAACGACTCAGAGCAACAAAGGTCGAATCACAAAGATTCTGAGATCAATATAATCTCCTTTCACTATGCAAAATGAATCAAATTGACCGGTCCACTAACAAAAAGGTAAACAACATCCATCAACTAAAAGACAAAACTCAGGAGATTTACTTGGCTGCATGTTTCACATGTTCCAAACAACCTCAGAATGATCTCAAGGAACAGAAATGCAAGTTGGAAAAAAAAAAAATGTTAAGTTGGAACAGAAGGTTTTGGCGATTATGGCAAAAGTTCACAGTGATCTTTTAGGATTAAATATAGGGGGCCTGGCTGCTTTTAGAGAATGAATATTCTATCAAGCAGTAGATTTACCTCAGAATGAGACCAATGAAGCTCTATAAGATCCTGTTCGTACTGGGATAGACGATCAGTGTTGCTATATTTAGATCAAGTTCTTTTAGCAATTATGGCCACATTTCTTGGCGATAATACTGGATCAAAGATGGGTAACATGATTGCTTCTAACGAACTGCCTTGCTCCTGAAGGAACAATAATCTATCGAGCAGAAGAAGAGTCTCAATAAGGGGCCCAAAAGCAGCTCGGAGAGACCAATATAATCCTATAAACTCCTGTTTGTATTTATTATAACAATCAGCAATACGAAAATATAAACAACAATTACACATATAGTTGTGTAATGTTCAAGTTGCATGAATCCTAATACTACTACAACAGCATTTTAAACAATTAATTACGATAAGCTAACTATATACACTTTAGTGTGCAATTTGTCTCATGGGAAATATTCTACTGAAAAAATTTTCTATGCTTCCCAGTGTGTGCTGATCAGAAAAAATAGTGAATGGCAAACATATTCCACACACTAAGTATAATGACCACTACACGTGAAATCAGAATCAGAAACACCAGCTAACTTTATCAATAAGGCATTTAGATAATCATTTGCAAACGCCATTAGAACCAAGGTTTACAGAGGAAATAAGGGTTTCTTCCCCTACTTTTCCTCGAGCAGCACAAGCAAAATTGCAAAAATGTCCGCGTGTAATAAGTGAATGCCATAAGAGCAAGGTAGGAGTAACATACAGCAAAAGGTTCAACTTCCTCCCATATTTCATGAAGATCTATCTCCTGCAAAGGTTTGAGACCAAGGCGAGAAAGTCCAGAATGGCTAAATTTCTCAAAGAGTAAATATTTGTCCGCAGAAGCATTTCCTTCACATCTCATAATCCCATTGCAAGACAAGGTATTTATGCTTGACTCCGCTGCTGAACTATCATCTGCAAAACAAATTTTGAGTAAATTTACAGTCCTATGCACATGGATTTTTAAGCAAACTAAATGGTGTTGTTAAATTATTTAGGCTTAATAATAAAAAATAACCCAAAATTTTCATGGAAAATAATCCAACCAACCTTTTATTGTAGTAATTTAAACCCTAATCTTTCATGGTTAATTGCAATTCTACCCACGTTAAAATTGAAAGAAAAAACAATATTGTTTTGTTATTGATTAATAGGTCAAATTGGCCATCAAAGTCTTACTAGATTGTTCGTTTAGTTTTAAATTTTGAATTACAGTCAATCAAGCTCTTCAATTTTGCAATTATTTAGACTACCACTAGATAAACTAATGATTAAGATAATTCGCAAAATTAAAGAGTTTAACTGACTCCAATCACAATATAAGACTAAATTGACAATGAAGTGCATTCTGGTTGATCTTCTCACTAACATGAAAAGTGGAAGGTCTCAAGTTCGAGTTTTCTCAACCATAAAGAGTTTTTATCAATTTGGTGAATCAAGGGAAAAGCTACCCCTATTGTGTAACACATCATGTTATTTCAACCCATTAGACCTCTCAATGAATAAAAAAAATTAAGAATAAATTGGCAATCTGGCATTAAATCAAGTGTCAATTTGTCCTTTTTACTATTAACAATTTATAATAAATTTTTTTCTTTTTTCCTTTCAATTTAAACCTACACTAGAATTGTCACTAACTTTGAAAAGTTAGGGTTTGATTTATTAAATTAAAATGAATGGTAAAACTGCAAATTCGGGAAAAGTTAGGTTAGTTTTGAATTTCGATCATCAATGTATAAAGGTCAATGTTGGGGTGGGCAGCGGAAGATAGAGCAATTACATGAAGAGTCTTTCAGCTCCGGATTTAAGTTACTCATTTGATGATATTGGTCAAATTTGTCTTAAATTGCAAATTTATTCAATAAAAGTTATTTGTCTTTGAAAAAAGTGTCCCCAAAGCACAAGTCAGTACCCGCTTTGCAAATGTTGGGGAAGGACATATATTATATTATGTATTGAGAAAAAAAGAAAGTCATTTCATTTCCTTGATAAAGAAAATATTTTAAGGTGTGGGTCCTCTCTTATTTTTATGTTGGTATTCATTCGTCAAATTTCCTTCTTGCAAAAGGATGGAAGAATCAAGGGAAAATTACTATTACATCCCTATGTTATTGCAAAATTAATCACTCCATCCTCGACATTTAATAGTGAAAAGCTTTAAAAGTGAACAGAACCACCACTTAATTGATGAAACCAAACATTAAGGATAAAGTAGTGTATTTTTTAAAAAAGCAGCGGAGTAATTAATTTTGGCATACTATAGGGATGTAATAATAATTTTCCCAAGAATCAATTGAATGCTATAAAACATTCATGAATTCACTGGCTTACCTGTTTTAGATTCTCTAGGCTGTACAGAGACACAGTTACAATCCATTTCAGAAATACTCTGGGGCAGTTTATTTTCTCCATGACGCAATGCAGAATGGAGAATCTTCCTTTGCTGCTGTCGACGCAGGGCCTTTCCTTGACGCCCAATTGAAGGACTTGCTTTCATGATTTCAGGATAATATTTACTAAGAACCTGTAAATAAAACAAATGTTATCCAGCAGCAGACTGTCACAACAAATAAATTAATAAAGAAAAATCTTCTATATAAAGAACCATCCAAAGTAGAAAAGAAAAAGCAGATTGACGCCACTGCATTCTGCTTTGTAGTAATTTGGTGTTTCTAATTGGAAAGGAAGATCCAAATTTATATTAAATTGTTTGCTTGACATGCATAATGAGATAAAAATTCCTTCCTTTTCTGCTGTTTGAGTGCCTAAACTCAAGACAGTATATCATAAGGAGTCAAGATGGCTCTGTCAAAAGAAATCTGGCATAGTTTACGGGGAGACAAGAGTGCCGCAGCCGTTCATAATTGGAAGGAAGACTCTATCCTGCCGCAATTCTAATCTGTCAATAGAGAGCTTTATTTATAAAGAAAGAAAACTTTTCCTGCTCCCTGCTCTAAGTCTTTAGTATCCTCATTTTTCTATAAAAATAGTGGTTGAGATAAAGAGTTACGGACTCCTCTGCCGTGTGCATTATGGGCCTCAAGTATGTGACCTACGAGCTTTGTTAAGCAATAGGTCTTCTTCCATAATTAGTTTCTTCTCCATTTTTTGCCAACAATATAAATTTTATTAAGAGAGCTAAAAGTAGTGATTTTCAATGAAAAGGATTCCCAACCTTCCACATCCTCACAAACAATGGCATGTTAACAAGAGTTGACAACAGAAAATACCTTACTAGCTCCCTTCTATTTGCATCTACCAACGAATGAAAATTTCTGTTCTCAATTGCACCACCTCACATAATAATATACTTGGAATCTCATCACTATTCAACACAGAGCTATTGAACCTTTAACGGAGCTGCAAAACTCGAACTTTCACACCAAAGATTTGTTTCACCATGACCATCTTAAAGAAGAAACCATGTCATCTCTTTCGGCTGAACTTCCCCCCCAGCCTATAAACTTCCCCCACTATTTTCCTGCTAAGGTTGTCTGCATGGCCTAAATCTTCCGTTAAAGTAGCTCACTTAGTGGGTTGCTGATGTAGCTAGCTAAACCTAGCCCAATTAGGTAGTAGAAAAGAGGAAAAATATTGAACAGACAAAACAAAGAGATCAAAAAATTTACCAAATGGGCTGAATTTTCCGGTTACACAACTACGGCAGCCTAAATATGTCAATTTCGCATTCTTGCTTCAAAATTGATTATAGCAGCTGTATGTTATCATAAATTTCTAATATATCTTGAACCTTTAGCCATCAAAAATAACAAAATCAAAAGTCTAAGAGAAGAAATAAATACACTAATTTTAAAAGTGCTACAATGAATGAACTGTTAACAGTAATCTAAAAATTAGATTTTCCTTATGAATCAATGGCCTGAAAATATTGTTTCAAGCATCACATGTAGGTACGTGTTCTATTTTTTGGCAAACTCATGGAGAAATTCTAAATGTATGATTGCAAATTATAATTTTCGACCACAAACACATTGTTAGAGTTAAGAACGCAGCAGAGATAAGTTAAAGAAGAGAGAAGAAGAAATAGAGGTTAGATGAAATTAGAGATTGGAACTTCCATTAAATGCGAATTCAGATTTACAAGCAGGTCTTGATTGAAGAACAGGGAAAATAATAACAGGAAGGGAAAAATAAAGTAAAAAGAAAGGTTGCAAGCAACCCCCAGGACCAGCCCGATACAGAGAGAGAGACCCCCTGCCAAAATAACAAACTCTATATTTACAAGCAGGTCTTTGATTTGAAGAAACAGTGTAAAATAATAAACAGGAAGGGAAAAATAATAAAAAGAAAGGTTGCAAGCAACCCCAGGAACCAGCCCGATACAGAGAGAGAGGACCCCCTGCCAAAATAACCAAACTCTATTATCTTTTTCGATACCCTCTCATTCCCAATCACTAGCTATATATATGATTTTCCCCCTAACAGAAATCTGTAGCTATATATATGATTTCCCCCTAACAGAATCTGCTGATGTGTCCAGCAGTGTTGCTAATTCCTTTGCTGCCCTCTTTGTTCTTTGTTTCTTCTGGAATAAACCTTGTAGGGCCTTGGGTTTTTCTCAACAGTCCTATCATTACCATCCCCTGGGAGACAAGCCTTATCCTCAAGGCTGAAATTAAGAAATTGCCCCAACATATCAGCTTCATCAATCCAGGTTGCTTCATCTTCTGTCTTTCCTTGCCACTGTATTAATAATTGGCGAAATGGCTGATTGTTGATCATTGTTGTACGGTTTTGGCAGACCTTTTCAGGCTGGAGCAAAGGTGCCTCATGGCTGTTTAAATTCTCCGGTAAAGTATCTAACACAGAGTGGTTGCCAATAACCCTTTTCAGCTGGGAGACATGGAAAATAGGGTGTATCTTGGCGTCTGCAGGGAGTTTCAGCTTGTAAGCTACTGCACCAATCTTGTCAATGATTTCAAATGGCCCATAGAACCTAGCAGCCAGCTTAGCATTAACTCTGGTAGCTACAGATTGTTGACAGTGAGGACGAAGTTTCAAGAATACTTTGTCTCCAACAGAGAATAGGACATCCCTACGCTTTTTGTTCGCGTATTTTGTCATTAGCTGCTGTGCTCTGTGTAGATTAAACCTCAGCTGCCTAAGAATTTCATCTCTACTGCAGAGGTGTTGAGACAAGGCTTCGACCCGAGATTCACCTGGCAAGAATTGATGTAGAGTAGGAGGTTTACGGCCATAGACAGCTTCAAACGGTGTCAACTTGATGGCTCCCTGGAAATTTGTATTATACCAATACTCTGCCCAACATAGCCATTTGCTCCATAACTTTGGTTGGTCAAAGGAGAAACACCGCAAGTAAGATTCCAAGCTCCTATTAAGGAGCTCTGTTTGTCCATCCGTTTGAGCATGATAAGAGGAGCTGAACTTGAGTGGCGTACCCTGTAGGCGGAATAATTCAGTCCAAAAGCTGCTTAAGAATAAAGGGTCTCGATCACTAACCATAGACCTCGGAATGCCATGGAGGCGAACCACCTCTCTGATAAATAGTTCAACAACTTTGGCAGCTGTAAATGGATGCCGACGAGGGATGAAATGAGCGTATTTGGATAGGCAATCGACAACCACAAGGATGCAGTCAACCCCATTAGACTTGGGTAATCTTGTGATGAAGTCAAGTGCAATATCTTCCCGAAGTTGAAGAGGTACAGGTAAAGGCTGCAATAGACCAGCTGGTGATTGAGCCTCATATTTGTGTCGTTGACAAACAATACAGGAAGCAACAAAGTCTTGGATCATAGCCATCATCCCTTTCCAATAGAAGTTAGATGCAATTCTTCGGCAAGTTCGGAAAGCACCAGAATGACCCCCTACAGCAGTTGAGTGCAACTCAAAAATTAATTTTGGTAGCCAGCTAGAAGATGATGGAAGTACTAACCTGCCCTTGTAGAAGAGGTGACCATGAATGATCGAATAGTGGGCTGGAGCTGTACTCCGAGAAGAGAGAGCTGATATGATACTGGAAAGGTGGGCATCTTGTTGAATTTCAGCATTAATTGTATCCCAATCAATCCATGAAGGAATAGAGATGCTTTGAAGAGTCAATTCTTCGTCCTTTCGTGATAAGGCATCTGCTGCCTTATTTGTTTTGCCGGAGCGGTATTCAATGACGAAGTCATACCCCATAATTTTGGCTGACCAGTATTGTTGGGCTGGGTTGGAGACCTCTTGGTGCAATAGATGACGCAAACTACGCTGATAGGTTCGAATTGTGAATCGACAACCGATATGGTATGGCCTCCAGTGTCTTATTGCAAGGACTACAGCCATTAACTCATTCTCATAAGCTGATCTGGTTGTTGCAGGGTTGCCAGTTGCCTTGCTGAAATAAGCAATTGGTTTATTGTCTTGCATTAGTACAGCACCAACTCCAGATTTTGAAGCATCGATCTCAACAATGAAGGGTATGGAGAAATCTGGCATAGCTAAAACTGGAGAAGAAATTATGGCAGCTTTCAGGGCATCAAAAGAGGCTTGTGCTTGTGAGTTCCACTGAAAATCAGCAGCTGTTTCCTTCTTTAATAGCCGAGTCAGCGTCTGTGCAATGTGTCCATAATTCAGTATGAAGCACCGATAGTACCCTGTCAAACCCAAAAATCCCCTGACAGCTTTAATAGACTTCGGTATTGGCCATTGTAAGATGCTGGAAATCTTAGAAGGTTCCACTTCGGTAATTGGCCCATTGTAAGATGCTGGAAATCTTAGAAGGTTCCATGGGAAACACCTTGGGAGGTGGAAACACCTTGGGAGGAAATGACATGTCCCAAGTATTCAAGAGAAATTCTGCCGAAAGAGCACTTTTTGGCATTCAAGTGTAGTGAATGGTCTATGAGCAGCTGAAATACAAGTTCTAGGTGGTCTAGATGGTCCTGCCCCGACTTACTATAAACCAGTATGTCATCGAAAAATACCAGAACAAACTTGCACAAGTGTGGCCGAAATATGCCATTCATAAGTGCTTGGAATGTCGCTGGGGCATTAGTTAATCCGAACGGCATTACCAGGAATTCATAGTGCCCGGAATGAGTGCGAAAGGCCGTTTTGTGAGTATCGGAAGGAGCCACTAGTATTTGATAAAATCCCTGTTTCATATCCAGCTTCGAGAAGAACTGGGCTCCATGTAGCTCGTCAAGCAATTCTTGAATATCTGGAATAGGGTATTTGTGAGGAACAGTTGTGTTCGGTTAAGTTGGCGGTAGTCGACACAAAATCGCCAGCTGCCGTCTTTCTTCTTAACCAATAAAACTGGACTAGAGAATGGACTAGAGCTGGTCTTGATGATTCCAGCAGAAAGCATATCAATTCCAGCAGAAAGCATATCAGCAACCATTTTCTCAATTTCATCCTTTTGGAGATGCCCATATCTGTAAGGCTTTACTGAAATAGGACCCTGTCCAGGTTGAAGTATGATTCTGTGGTCTTGTGGACGGCTGGGGGGAAGGTGTTTTAAGTCCTCAAATATTGTAGGGAATTTCGATTGAAGCT